GTGGGGGTGTAAATTAGTTCAACCACTGTGAAAGACAGTGTGGCAATTCCTCAAGGATCTAGAACCAGAAATATCATTTGACCCAGCAACCCCATTACTGGGTATATACCCAAATGATTATAAATCATTCTACTATAAAGATACTATACTATAAAGATACATTCTACTATAAAGATATAAACATACTACTATGTATGTTTATTTCAGCAATATTCACAATAGCAAAGACTTGGAACCAAACCAAATGCTTATCAGTGACAGACTGAATAAAGAAAATATGGCACATATACACCATGGAATAGCATGCAGCCATAAAAAAGAATGAATTCACATCCTTTGCAGGGACATGGATGAAGGTGGAAACCATCATTCTCAGCAAACTAACAAAGGAAAAGAAAACCAAACACCACATGTTCTCACTTATAAATGGGAGCTGAACAACAAGAACACACGGACACAGGAAGGGGAACATCACACACTGGGGCCGGTTCAGGGGTGGGAGTCTAGGGAAGGGATAGCATTAGGAGAAATACCTAATGTAGATGACATGTTGATGGGTGCAGCAAACCACCATGGCATGTGTATACCTATATAACACTATGTAACAAACCTGCACGTTCTGCACATGTATTCTATAACTTAAAGTATATTAAAAAATTCAAAGAAAAAAATTAAGATTGAGGATGATTTGGGGGTTGAGACAGCAACCAAACAATTTTTTCTTCCTGATTTTATCCTAAATGACACTAGAAATTGTATAAAAATAAATTCTTTCAATTAAAAAAGATCTCAGAGATTTAGTGTCAAAACGAAGCACACAACAAAATTTAGCAGTTCTTATGGGAAAAAAGAAAAATGCGATGTTCAATAATGTCATACTGAACATGTAATAACATTCTTAGTAAATGATAATTTTATTGAGAGCAGTTCAAGTAGAATGGCAGTGCCAAAGTCAGACTGCAATATTATAAGAAATGAATGAATCTAAAAATATTCAGAATCAAGTAGAGACTACTTCTTCAAAACTCTCAAGATTCAGATTGAACCAACACTTCTTTAAAAGTATGTGCTTCAAAAGTATATGCTGTTCTAAGTAGTAAAGAATTTTTTTTAAAGGATGGGGTAAACCTAGACCTCATTTCATGTGTATTTCTTCCAAGTAGCTACTCTGTGTTCTGCATGTTTGCTGTCAGGGTTGACTTAAGATCTAGAAGAGAGAGGAAACTGTTAGTTCAAATATCCAGAAAAAGAAAAACAAGCCTCTCTTAGTATTTTGTTTGTTTTTGTTTTCATTAAAATGTATTATTTATGCTAACATGTAATGGTTTTACTATTGCTATTTATATATTTATTTTGAGACAACGTCTGGCTCTATTGCCCAGGCTGGAGAGCAGTGGTGCCATCTCAGCTCACTGCAACCTCTGCCTCCCTGGCTCAAGCCATCCTCCCACCTCAGCCTCCCAAATAGCTGAGCAGCTGGGATTATATGCAGCTAATTTTTTTTGAATTTTTTTGTAGAGACAGGGTTTCACCATGCTGCCCAGGCTGGTCTCAAACTTGTGACATCAAGTGATCCACTCACCTTAGGTTCTGAAAGTGCTGGGATTACAGGCATGGGCCACTGAACCTGCCCTATTGTTGTTTTTGAATGAATTCATAAACACATATTTTAAAAATTTCTCAGTTTTAAGTTCTCCTATGGTAAATACCAACATATCGATGTACACAAAAGCTCTGGGGTGCTTAATAATTTTTGAGAATGTGAAGGGATCAACACATTGGTAGCAGTGTTGGTAAGCATAATCATATGATTTATCTCTAGTAAAGCTCAACAGAAATGAAGAAAATAAATTATTGGCTTGATTCAAGATAGAATATTGGTATGATGACTAGAATATTCAGTATCTGATTCATGTTTTAAAAATTTATTGAACCCTGACTGAGGGTCAGACACTGTGATACGTCTAAAAATACAAAAGGAAGACAGTCTACCTAGTAAGTGTTCAAAGTACAGAGAGGGGAAAAAAATAGAACTTAGCTCAACGAATATTTATTTGAGCACCTGGCAAAATCAGGGCACAAAAGTGAATACTGAATGCTAAAATGGTAACTGTTCTCATGGAATTTATGTTTGATAATGCAATCCAATAAACTATTTTTTTAACCAAAGTAAATAATGAATCAACATATTAAATTCTATTCTTAATGAGTACAATTGTTCTTTTCCTTTTTCTTTTCTTTCTTTTTTTGAGACAGAGTCTCGCTTCGTCACCCAGGCTGGAGTGCAGTGATGCAATCATGGCTCACTGCCATTTCCACTTTCCAGGTTCAAGTGATTCTCCCCCTCAGCCTCTCAAGTAACTGGGACTACAGGCATATGCCACCATACCCAGCTAATTTTTGTATTTTTAGTAGAGACGGGGTTTCACCATGTTGGCCAGGCTGATCTCAAATTCCTGACTTCAGGTGATCCATCCACCTTGGCGATCCCAAAGTGCTGGGATTACAGTTGTGAGCCATTACACCTGGCCTAGTACAATTATTCAATAGCCTTCAAAGCAATTAGATAAGCAGAATACTTGCTTTACCTGGGCTTTGAACAATACAAATCTGTTTTCTTTTTTAAAAAATATTTAAACAGTCTTTGATATTCAATCAATGTCCTGTTGTAATTACCATGTCCTATTAAAACTAACAGCTCTTATCTTTTAGAGTAGCTTTCTGGTTGAGTTTCTGCTTCTGTATCCTATAATCTACAAAGATTACCTAAGGCCATGCTCTAAAACTTTCAAGGGTAAATAATTGAAAAAATGTATTTTTTAATCAGGTGACTGATGCTTATGCTCAAATTTCAGTCTTTATTATATGATTGATGCTTATTCTCAAATTAGGTAGCTCTCACTAATCAAATAAATAGATGGAAGCCCCTTCTCTGTTCTCATCCTAAATCTGAAATTTATAGAACATGGATATTTCCCTGTTCTGTGTTCACTTGATTAGTCAAGAAATCTTTAGAACTGACATCTTTCTGTTGAGAAAAATGCTGATTCCCAACTGGGGAAGTAGAGGATGAAGAGGAGAGAGATACACTGATGTACATGTACATTCCATGACACAGTAGGATCCTCTCTCACATTATCACATGTCTCATGCCCCACAGATATCTTAAAATAATGCCCTAATTTCTTAGATGGGGAAACATTTTTTGTCTGAAATATAATAAAATATTAAACAAATGTATGTGAAAGTGATAATACTTAAATTGTAGAATACTAATACAAATCAATATGGAAATACTAAGAGCTTTTATACTGTGAGTGTTTTCTCAGAGAGAGTTCTGTTAAATCAAGTGTATGGCCTTCATTAACCTATTTTTTTTCATTCTCCTGTCTTTTTGCAAATTTCCTAAATAGAATATGTTATTCATTATAGTGGATTGGATAATTTCTTCCCAAAATATACATCAACCTGGAGCCTCAGAATGTGGCCTTATTTGAAATAAAGATTTTGGAGATGTAATTAAGGTAAGTATCTCAAGATGAAATTATCCTGAATTAGGATGGGCCCTAAATTCAACAATTTGGATGTATTTAGGATGGGCCCGAAATCAAATGACAAATAAATGTCTGTCTTCATAACAGAAAATAAGAAGACACACAGAGATAACTGGGAGAAAGCCATGTGAAGATGGAGACAGAGAACAAAGGTCTGTTGCCACAAGCCAGGGAAGACCAAGAGCCACCAGAATATGGAAGAGACAAGGAAGGATCCTTCCCTAGAGACTTCGAAGGGAGTGTGGCTCTGCTGACACCTTGACTTCAGACTTCTAGCCTCAAAAATATGAGAAAACAAACTACTGTCATTTTAAGCCACCCAATTTGTGGTAGTTTCTTATGGCAGTCATTGTAAACTAATACACTCATTAAGTTGGTTCCTTTTGAAAACTGAGGGAACAAAATGTTTTTCTTCTAGCTTTTGCTTTCCTATGTGTAAATATCAAAAACTAATTCATATAACACTGTAAAACACAATTTGGACAGATTGAAGAATTTATAATATTGAACCCCCTAAACAAGTTCAAATTTTAGCTATTGTAAACATAGAAAAAGTAATATATAATACTAATTGGCTCTTTTTACAGAATTTTCAAATATCTGCAGCCATGTATTTCAATGAAAACATTATTAAATTATTTAGATGAAATCTAGATGTATATAATCCCATTTGTTCATTTACAACTGAATTTTGATTTAATGCCCCTTCTGTGATCTACTGCATCTGCTCTTGCCGTTAACAATAACAACAAATTTCCATAATGTGTTGGAGAATCTAAGTCAAGGAAAATAGTGGTATGATGCATCTTTTATGTTCTTACTTTAAAGATCTTCTACTTTTGAGACATACACCTGTTTGAAAAGCTGATGAAAGCTTTTTCCAGTCCCAAAAATCTACATACAAAATTTTTACATAGAAAAATTTACATGCTCTATCACAGAAATCACAAACCCCTTGAAATCTATCTACAGCTTCTCTAATAGTTTCCAAACTCCCAGGTTAAAAACATCTATATTTAGGCAACTGTAGAGAGTTGACAGATGTTGCATGCATTTTGGGGTCATGTATACTATTCAGATAAACTGCTATTGTTCTTTCTTTAGACTTTGAAATTATTTACTCAAAACAAGATTTCCAAGGATATTAACAATGGTGCTTACTTTGGTAGCACATATACCATAAAGGGAATATTAATAATATATTCCAAGTGTCACTGAAAAAATTTCTTTACACTATGAAGTTTTAAAATATTATATTCATGGGTGTTAATTTATTATCCCTTTGGAAAACATTTTTCTAAAGGAGATTTTATAGTGGAGACATGGGAGAATGGGATTCAATACAGAGAAATCTGATTCACAACACACTGTCTTGAAAAGAGGACCTCCAAAAGTTTTAGGTATACCTAGAGGGGGAAAATATTCCCAATGAACTTGAATAAATACCTCATCTGTCATTAGGGTTGCAATTGATCTGCCAATCTCATGGTACTGTTGACCCTTTCCCAGGGGTCCCAGAAGAATGAACAAAAATCTGTAATTAAGAAGAAAAAAATGTTTTAAGGTAGAAATATAAAAATAATTTTAGTAATACAGAATCACTCATCTCAAAGGAATACTGAAAATGGAGATTATGATGTCAAATACTTTCATAGTTTTTCATAGTTCATTATTATTTTGAAAAATTTTACCATGATTGACTCTTATGCTTAAGATCCTCAAGCAATGGGAATGCATGGTTTTCTGTTTTTTTGATTGATTTTTAATCACAGTGTTTCTCCGTTTAGTTATCTGTACAGTATGTGCAGTTGCTATTGGGAATTTTAAGGATTCTATGATCCTTAAAGAAGGAAAGTGTGAAAACTAAAATCTGATTAGACCTTTCTAAATAGGAAGGAAGAAAACTCACTTGTATGCAAAATGGCGAACAGTTCAAAGGGGGCAAAGGTAACACAGTAGCAAAACAGAGAAAATACAGAGTCAAAAAACAGTAGGTGTATGTGCAATTTTCATTATAAAAAATTATTGTCAGGAATCAAAGATCAGCCAGGTAGAAGAAAATGGGGAGTTAATGATCTATTATTTGTAATGCTGAGGAATAAAAATAGTGTCTGCACTATAATATTCCATCTAAATTAGGTCGAACATTTGGCAAATTCATCATCACAAGTGGTGCTTTTAAAGAAATCAATAGACACTCTAACTTTAGCAGACTGGTGATTGTTCTGTCTCTGAGAAGGTCAATCCTTCTGGAAATTGTGAAAATTAAAGAATGCCCTATATTCTGCCATATCATTCTATGGTGTTAATTTGTTAAATGGTTTATGCTATTAAGTATGAAGACTAACGGCTTTACAAGGTGTACTAAAATAGTTACTATAATTCTACTCCTCATATAGGTATAATCTTTAGAGATCGTACATGTTTTTATATGAGGCAAATATTACACAATTTTAGAGGATGTGACAATATCTTTGTGTGTGTGTCAGTGACAACTGAACCCAAGCCAATTTCTACTATGTAGAAATGTCCAGTTGACATTAAAAACAGCAATGGTTTAATTTGGTGGCAGGTGCTTTATCAACTATAATAGTTTTTTAAGAAACTTCCTAACCTATGTACATCTTGCTATTTTTCAGGTTTCCATTCCATGGGCTATTTTTAAAGTTCTAAAAGATTATTTTCTGACATTTCTACTATGTGTTGCCATTGTATTAACAGGATGCCCTTTTGTCCTCCCCAAAAAAGGATAATTAGAAACCCTGAATGGCTTTCTTTATTCTGTTTGTCCAACTAATCTTCTATTTTTCACCTTCCCTAACTAAATAGTCTTGTCTTTAAATCTCTTCTCATACAGTTGCTCTACAGTGGCCCTAATTTTTTTCTCCATTGTTCTCTACACATATTTTGCTATCTCAGTGTGAAATAAGGTCACTTAAACCCGACAGTTTTCAAATAAGGGTATATAACCCCATCACGGCTTTTTTCTACTTGTGGGAATTCTTCTTTTCCTTCTTTTTAAATACAAGAACTATCATTGTCATAAATAGCCATCATTTGCTCATAGTTCACCAGACACCTTCCTAAGTGGTGGAACACAAATGCACTGCTTGGCAGACTGAAAAGAAATTTTCAACTGCTATAATAGTAACTCTACAATTAACAAGTTTAACATCTTACATATGAATCCCAGACTCCCAGAAACCTTGGATAGGTTACAGGTTGTCCATAGAAAATATATAACCTGAATCACATAGTCAGATGCCACTTTAATGTACTCAGTTCATCCTTTCCCTTTGTACATAAAAGTTGATGTGTATCAGAAATCTCAATAACCCTCAAACGGGATAAATACAGACTTCTTTCTATAATCTGAACAGTAACTAGATTCCTCCCCCAAACCATAGTCAGACATAGGTACTTAAACACTGCATCCCATTCCAGTCAGCTGAGCTCTTAAAAAATGAGGCCTCTCCTGGCTGTGTATTCCATAGTTGTAGAATATTTTATCCATAATCAAAGCAGGGAGTTATGTAATCTGCTATATTTTGAGTTAAGGCCAAAGATCCATAGAGGACATACATTCTACAGTTGATACAGTACTTGAACTTTTCATCAAGTAACTTGGCTAAGGCATTCAATGTTTGGAAGAGGAGGCACACTAACAGCTTTTGAGATAGCTGTAGCATCAAACAAAGGGCACCAGCCATATGGGAACGGGGCCCTAAATAGACATGTTTTGCTGCAGGAAAGGACTAGAGTAAAAGGCTATCTGCATTTTGGAATCACACTGATGGTAGGAGTATGGAAGAAAACAAGGTTCCTGGGTAAATTGCTTGGAACCTAATGTGCTAAAGTCGATATTCTGTTTTTCCTTCCTTTCTTTTTTTCTTTTTTTTACAGTTTTAGTAATGGATAGCCTTATTCTAAAAAATGAGAAACAGCATAATTCAGTTTGTATTATCCCTAAGTTGTTATTTTATTGTTAAATGAGAAACAAGTTCCGATCATCAAATTAAGTTTGTACTTTTAACTCTGATTCAACCACACTGCGATAATACTTCTACCAGTGATTCTACAGACCCTGTGTGTGGGAAGCCCACTATGCCTAGGATTGAAACATATATTTGATGCTATCCTAACGATGGCACTTAAATGTATTTTGAAGGCCTTCTTATTAAAGTGTAAGCAAACCTTAGTAACTTTGCTATTTCTGAATTTGACCACACTCATGCACAGGATCCTTTCTTTCTTTAGCAGACAATTTAATGCAACCTTTGAGAAAAAGCTAACATGTTACCACTTCTTTTACCAAAAATGTAAAAAAAAAAAAAAAAAGAATTCATATGGCTTCAGGGTACCTTGAGATGAGGAATATGCCTAAAATGAAACAGAAGCTTGAGAGAAGGGAGGAAATAATAGAATAATTTTTAAAGCACTTTTCCCCTCCTCCACAAACAAAAATTAATTGTAGTTTTGTGGATTTCACATTAGTTTCTAGTCAAAACTCTAACATAAAATTACCTTGAATCCTCATTTTCTTTCCACAAAAAGATAGTTTAAGAAAAATACAAAAGATGCTTTTATACTCCTTACCTGGTTGGGATTGGGACTTCAGCCAGTCCTTGAAGCAATACAGCTGGAGACAACCTGACAAACGCAACTACAGTTCGATCCAAGAACTCCAGTTCTCCCACTAAGATGTTTGATGCTTCAGCACCTGGAGGAATCTTTTTCATAAAGTGCAGATCAACCTGCAAGCATCACCAGGTAAATATGATAAATCAAAATTGGAAAAATCTGGTAAATCATATTCTTGCACAGTGCTTCACATATAGTAATCCACGAATAAATATAGTTTAAATAAATACACACAGTTAAACATCTCATTTGCCCTTTTTCTATAATAACCTTTTTTCTTTACTTGTGGATTATTTTAACTTGTCATCAATAAGATGAGTACTCTAGTTCTAATTATTTTTAAACGAAGTTTCTCCAATCTCAACAATCTTCAAATTTTAGACAGGGAAAAGTATGTGAGTTCAGTTAAATAACTATTCTTTAACCGTAATTTAATTAGCATTTGCCAACAGATTTAATATTTTTATACTACATTACCTAATTTTTGTACATAATACATTTTAATTAATATTCAAATATGCTTATGTCAAAAGAAATATAATCACGTTTCTCTTTACAGTATAAATTATGACTTTAACCTTCTTCTGTTTTCTAGTTGTTCTATATTCTTCACATTCTATATTTGGCCTGGTAGTTCTTCAATATTGGTTTTTCATCTGAGAATTTAGATATGACACAGTAGAAAAAATCAGAATAAAATATTAACATTTGGAGTTACTGAAGAGCTATAGTTGAATTTCTGACATGAGATGTTTGTGATTGAAATGAATGTACACAAAGCAAAAGTGATCATTAACAAGAAGAAATGCTAAAAATAAAGGCTGAAGTCTAAAAAATGAACGCAAAATATCCTTAACAACAAGTATCAATTTTATGTACAGGGCCTCAGTGAAAGACAAGCAGTGACTTTAATGTAAATTGTACAAGATCTATGTCTTGTTTCTAATTCACTTGAGTTACTTTTTACGAAGCTCTGTTTTTAGGGGAATAAGAATTTATCTGCTCTAGTAATTGATCTTATGCTCTGATATTAATGAAATGAGGGTCAAAGATCAAAGTGAGAATAGCCGAGAGAGAGAGGAATGAGCTCTGGCAAATATGAGTGAGGCTGAGAAGATTTTTTTAGCCTAGATAGTTCTTCTGCAGGTTTAATGATTTGAGAATATTTTTCTTAAAAATTTAAAATGAAAAAATCCATAGTAATACTTTAGTGACTACATTAAATATGTTTCTTTCTGAAATCAAGATCATAGTACAGCTATTTGGAAGTTTTACAACTAATTAATCTTTCCAAAGAATAAGGATACCACAAAATATATAACCTAGTATATGAAGCATGTATTCTTTCACAAGGATTAAATATAAAAATATCCTACAGCACTCCATCAAAAATATTAAATAGAATCATTATTTTATTTTAAAGGAAAGGAAGAATGATTTAACAAAGCAAAACTGCCTATAAAAATGTATAACAAATATTATACATCCAAAGTTTTTAAGCTACAAATGTACTCCCAAATATACATTTGTAAATTCATAATTCATGTACACTGGATTATATAGCAAATATTTTTGCTTTTGTGGACCTGATCTTTTAATGTATAGATAGCAAAAGTATTTATTTACTATAATAAGGTTAAATTTCATGCGATTTGTTGTGGTATTTTTGTAGGTATTTATCTAGCTAGGAGAAATGTACAGATTTAAGATGCTTTAAATTAGTAATGCTTTACATTTTCATTGTAATGCAAAAATTCCCAAGGAGGGAATAGAAGATTTCCCATAGACTGTTAGCTCTGTGAGGAAAACATAATAAATTTCATAATCCTTTCTGTTACTAAGAGAATAAACAGTTTTCTCTCTCAATGGAAAGAACAATGATACAATATACATATACTGAAACAAAATTTAAAATGAGAAAACATCTTTTTAAAAAATCTAGTAATTCTTTGGGAGGCGGGCAGATCACAAGGTCAGGAGATCGAGACCATCCTGGCTGATATGGTGAAACTCCGTCTCTACTAAAAAATACAAAAAACTAGCCGGGCGAGGTGGCGGGCACCTGTAGTCCCAGCTACTTGGGAGGCTGGGGCAGGAGAATGGTGTAAACCCGGGAGGCGGAGCTTGCAGTGAGCTGAGATCCGGCCACTGCACTCCGGCCTGGGTGACAGAGCAAGACACCGTCTCAAAAAAAAAAAAAAAAAAATCTAGTAATTGATAATATAAATTATATAGATAATGCCTGAAATTTAAATTCCACCTTGAAAATTCTATAAACTCATTTATTGCTTGACAAATGCCATTGTCTTAACTACTAAAGTCTGCACCTCAGGGAGGTGGTGATTATAGAAATAACTGTTTAAAGATGAAATTTAATTAAATCAATAAGTACATAGTATGTTAAAATAGTTGAACTTTGTAAAAGAAAATACATGGTCATTACACATGATCTTTAAGCTTACAAAATACCTAATATGTCATTGATACCTGTTATTTAGAAAAAACATTAAAATATACAGAATTTAATTTCAGGATAAGCAAATTCATCTTTTGACTTCAAATGGAATAAGTTATAGTTCTATAGCACATATCTGAGGCAGCCATTGTATTATACTCATTACATTATTCTTGGAGTAATCATATATTTTGGGAAGTAATTGATTATGTATTATCTAATTATATTATTCTATATTAGGTATAATTATATATTATATTATTTATGGGGCAACCCTATATCTTGTGTTTGTGTACTATATACTTCATGAAGAAACTTATTTGACAAAAAAACTATCTTTTTTGGTTTGGTTAAGTTTTTGAGACAGGGTCTCATTGTGTCATCCAGAGTGGAGTGCAGTGGTACAATCCCAGCTCACTGCAGCCTTGAACTTCCTGGCTCAAGCCATCCTGATCCTTCCAGTTCAGCCTTCTGAGTAGCTGGGACTACAGGTGTGCCACCATGCCTGGCTGATTTTTTCTAGATTTTGTAGAGATGAGGTCTCACTATGTTGCCTAGCTTGATCTCGAACTCTTGAGCTCAAGTGATCCTCCTGCCTTGGCCTCCCAAAATGCCGGGATTACAGGTGTGAGCCACCATGCCCTTGGCCCCCTAAGCAACTTTTTTTTTTTTTTTTTTTTTTTTTTGAGACGGAGTCTTGCTCTGTCACCCAGTCTGGAGTGCAGTGGCACGATCTCGGCTCACTGCAAGCTCCGCCTCCTGGGTTTACGCCATTCTCCTGCCTCAGCCTCCTGAGTAGCTGGGACTACAGGCGCCCGCCACCTCGCCCGGCTAGTTTTTTGTATTTTTAGTAGAGACGGGGTTTCACCGTGTTAGCCAGGATGGTCTCGATCTCCTGACCTTGTGATCTGCCCGCCTCGGCCTCCCAAAGTGCTGGGATTACAGGCTTGAGCCACCGCGCCCGGCAGCAACTTTTAATATAACAAAATATTATGTTTAAAGACCTGACTGTGACCTCTTATGAAATTATAAATACATAAAGCAGGTCTAGAGAATCTAGGTTGAACTACATCCCTAAGACAATTGTCAAGTGGAACACAAACACTTGGAATGGACAAGAAGGAAATCCTGGAAGTTTCTGGTCCTCTGGATAGGATCTTGAAGAAATCAAGCTATACTCTTCTGGGTCTGTATTTACACTCATGCTTCTAGGCTCTCCAGACCTCATCTTTATGTTAATAACAGAAAGATTTCTTTCTGGGCCTTTGATACTTAAGCTGTGGATGAGAAACAGTTACATTTCTAGGGAACAGGGAATGAAATTAGATAGAAGATCAAGGTGAAATTGGAAGTCTCTGGGCAAACTACACACTAAGAATTAAAGGAAAAACAAATGGAAATTTAAGGAGAAAGTTTAAGCCTTCAGCCCATTATAGAAAGTACACGAAACGTCACAGGGATTCTCTGGGGAGAAATGGTGTCTTGACACTAACTCGCCAGTGATCTTGAGCAGCTCTCTTAATCACTCTATAATTCAGCTTTCTTGCTGACTAAATGAGGAGATGTCTAAGGTTTCCTACAGTTCTAGGATTAAATAATACAACTCTTTGTACTATGCTTCATACACTAAAGCTAGATGCAGAAGAAAGTTATTTCTATGTAGAAAATTATGTGAAGCCATCTCTGGGTCATTCGAAGTAAAAGAAAACACCATCAACATAAAATAGCTACGTTCTAATGTCAGCTTGAAAAACAAAAACAAATAGTGTTTTGAAACATCTGCTTTTTAAATGTATTATGGGAAGCTAAAACCTGATAATTTCAGTTATTTTCTAAATCATTCTTAAGTAAGTAAGTGTGGCAGGTCTATACATTGGAAGGATTACAAATATGTAGGTTGAATGTAGATGGAATAAATACGATCAAATCATATGAGAGGAATAAAGACCTTGTTTTCCTTAACACCTCAAAATGTTTGGAATCTGCATATTAAGATGCTGAGGTTTTGGAATCTGCATATTAAGACTTAAAATATTAAAATAGAAAACTAACCTGGAAACTAGGTGAATTTTGATAAATTCACTACTAAAACTAAAATCATAAGGCTAAAAAAATCACCTCATGCACCTGCAAAATCTGGCACTAAAATTTGTTTCCATAGTGATAGATCACAACTGCTCTTTTCAAACTCTACTTTTCTGCCTTCTCAGGCTTTAAAGTAAAAAATCTTACTCAGTCTTTTTTAAATTTCAAAATCAGGCTTATATTACTTTGGATCTTGAAGGATTCATTCAACAAATACATACCAAATACTATTTAAGGCACTAAAGACCCAGTGGAGACCAAAACATTAAATTATGATCTGGTGTTTTATTTCTGACACTACTATTTCTACTACTACTAATAGCCACAGTAATAAGTGTAACCACCTTTTATTAAACACCTGCTATAAGTCGAGCAATGTCCCGGATCTCTCTCTATATTATTTGATTAAATCTTCACAATGAAATTGTAAATAGTTTTCCTACTTTGCAAATGAGAAGGCTGAACTTTAGAGAACTTCTCCAAGATCAGAGAGTTTATAATGCCAGAGTTGGGATTCAAGCTCTCACACTCTTTCTCAAAAGCCACATTCTTTCCAGTGTGCCATGCTATGAACAAGAGACTGAGGCATAAAGGCAGTTGACACTAAGTAGAGGGCTCTAGAAATTTAACTTGCCTATTAAAAGATGAAACGGGCCAGTGATCACAAATGTGGTGAGAAAGAAAAGGATTAAAAGAAAGGAAATCGGTTTTTGACTCTTCCATAGTTTTAACTGTTTGGGGGGACCAGAAGATGAGACTCCTGCCTACAAGTGGCAATCTTCATTTTCTTTCATATGTGATGAAGAATTCTTGAAGGCTGCAAAGACAGGTCACACAACCAAAAGCAAAATGATATGGAGATATACAATCAGTGTATAAAGGTTATATTATTTTTAAAAAGTTAAATCACAATGTATTTGAAAGGAGGAGCTATGTGGTTTATAATGATTGTTTCTGAGGATGTTAAATATGCCTTCTTTATGCTGTTAATGTGTTTATACATAAATATGCAGCTTGTTATATTATTGCTTTTAAGATCACTTCAAATTAAGAATATCAGAAATTAAATGTATGGCAGTTTGTGACAACTTTTTCCAACTTGCAGATGAATGAAGATGCAATGCTTTGAAAAGATAGCTCTTAGAGTGGCAGATGGAATACATTTGAACTGGCTTAATGTTTGAATCACATGTCTCCATACAGTGAAATGAGCTTTGAACCACTGTAGAAATAGAGCCCAAGTATGCCCTCACCTCTCTCTCTTGCTGGTGTGGAGGTCCTTTTTCATGCCTTTGTTTCATCCCACATGGACTAGTATGCCCCTTTTGTTGGCCTCCCAGTCCCTGCACGCATAATTAACAGACTTAAGCTGGTACACCATGCTCCCACGGAGACTCCGCCAGGCACCAGAGGGAGAGCATGCACATAACTAGATCTAGATTATTTAGGCATTGTCAGAGGGATTCTGAAACAGGTCCAAAGAGCTGATCACTATTAATCTTTTCAGAACCTTGATTCAGGCTACTTTCTCTACTGCTTTCACCCATTCCCACTTCCTCCCACTACTACAATTATTGCCAGTGCTAAGAGCTTTATTAAAATATTACTCTGAGTTACTTCTATTTCAGCCACTCAGTTAAAGAGAATTGTTAACCTGCCATATTTTCACCAAGTATTGAAACTCCTGTTTTGCATTGTCTTTATTTATTTATTTATTTATTTATTTATTTATTTATTTATTTATTTATTTTGAGATGGAGTCTCACTCCATCACCCAGGCTGGAGTGCAGTGACATGACCTCAGTTCACTGCAGCCTCTGCCTCCTGGGCTCAAGCAAACCTCCCACCTCAGCCTCCCAAGTGGCTGGAACCACAGGCATGTGCCACCACACCCAGCTAGAAACTCTTCTTTTCTTCTCAACTGTTACTTTGCCATAGCTTGCAATGGCACATATACAATGTCAGAAATTTGCTAATTAAAATCACATTATCGTCATTGACTCATTTTCTAAGAATACATTCAAGTTAATGATTTCATTTCAGTTGTCTCCAATTAGATGTATCCCTCAACACAGTCAGTTCTTAGTATGTTTTTATTTAAAATTCTGCTCAGTTTTACTATGTCCTTCTAGGATTTCCTTACAGTAATGACTTTTCCTTGATTACATTAACAATTCAGTTTTATATTGTGATTTGCTTTCCCACAAATAGAGGAAAAGTGATTTTGAACAGATTTTGAACACATACTAGCCAAAGTTTATAAACAATAGATTAAACTTGGCCGAGTGTGGTGGCTCATGCCTGTAATCCCAGCACTTTGAGAGGCTGAGGCAGATGGATCACCTGAGGTCAGGAGTTCGAGACCAGCCTGGCCAAGATGGTGAAACCCCGTCTCTACTAAAAATACAAAAATTAGCCAGACACAGTGGCACACGCCTGTAATCCCAGCTACTCGGGAGGCTGAGGCATGAGAAGTGCTTGAACCCAGGAGGTAGAGGTTGCAGTGAGTCGAGATTGTGCCATTGCACTCCAGCCTCGGTGACAGAGCGAGACTGTCTCAAACAAAGAACAACAAAAACAAACAAACAAAAATAGATTAAACTTCTGTTAAATTCCCTGTGAAGCCCAGTTATTCCTTTTATTAGAAGAGATAACATTATACCAAGTGGCTGAAACATGAATACTATGCATAAAACTCACAGGTTCAGGTTTTTTATTTTTTATTTTTTTTTGAATAGGCAAAATGTTACATGTGGACTTAATGCTAACATTATCTGTAACAATATCAAGCTTTGAAAAGAAACAAAAAAAGTACATGCAAAATATTGTGTCAACACCTCTTAAAATGGGTAGTAATTTCTAGTAGTAATTTAGCAACTTATTTAGATGAGAGGGAGAAAAGCTCACCTTGCTAAAGTCAACAGTGCTGTTTTCTCTGCTAACATCATTTTTATTTTCAACACAGGCTGGAGCAGACTGAGGAGAAACAACCTGACCTGCTAAAAGAGATTGTTGTGACAGAATACAAACAATTACTTACATAGTTGTAGACATACTGAGTGAAATACGCACTTCAATTAACTAGACAAACAGGTTTCTTAATGAATTTATGATGTAAGCATGAAGGGTCAATATAAATAGATCTATATTAATACAAACATTCTTATTATCAGTTACAGGTAGAAATGGGAGAATTCAGTAAAAAAATTAAACCAATTTTCAGATAAAAACTCTAAAAGATTATTTTCAATAAGGATTATATACAAAAATATGTAAATGTTTCCAGGATTTTGAAGCATCATTGATTTCTAGATTTCAACCAAAACTAATGGTATATATAAAAAGACAAGATAGACATCTGTTAAGATTTAAGCTCAGCCTGAAGAATTTAAAATGTAAAGCATTAAAAAGGACAGATATTTATCAGAAAAATACACAGTATATTTTTAGGTTTTATTGCATCTAAAAAGCCAAACCAATGAAAAAAGTTCTTTGGCCATAACTCTTACAGTCTATAGAAGGGGGTTCGGTTAGAAATACCTTTATTTCACATAGTATGAACACTATGGATATGATTTTATGCCTCTGATTATTCTATTATATAAGCATACTGATATTAGTCTGTGATATGAGAAAAGATAAAAACTTGAATTGTATTAGTTTTGCATTAACACTAAACTAAAACAGAATTATCTTGTAGTTCTTTTCCCTATTATAGGGAAGATGATGAGAGTTCAGTGGATAGTAACACTGGGAGTGTGGCAATGACTAGAAAGGGTTAAATCCCATCATTCACTAAATAGGAAACATTGTTTGCAGTAAATCATATTAAATTTGTTCATAGTTAGCAATGCAATGAAAATTAAACGTCTCCCCATCTTTATTTTTTTTTCTGTGAAATGAATAATGACAATTCAAATTTGAAGTCTTGCCCATATTTATGATAATAACTCAATGACTCAAAATAGTGCTTTTATTCACATCAGTTGTAGATGTTAGAAACACTCTCTCTGCCTGGCTCTTCTCTCTACTTACCTAAATCCTAACTTTATTCTAAATTCACCTTTAGTGTCATCTCTAATCACTTTGGTCTCTGTCTGAACTTCTCTAAGCTCCCAGGGTAAATGCAAAAAACCCCCACAAAAACCCTTTCCTTTAAATTTACTCCTGAAAGTCTACTTATTCTTTGTTACCTAGAAATTAACAACTGGGGTTAAAAATACTAATTATTTACTTTCAAAAATTACTATAAGTTTGCTTTTTAGACTAGTAAGCCTCTCAAGCAGGGGTCATTTATTAATAGGAATAATTGTATGGTTTAAAGTTGTTATAATGCCAGAAAGTAATAGGCTTAATATTATTCTAGAACTTAAGGATTTCACTACTTTCATTAAAAAATGTAAAATAATATATTTGGAGAAGATGAAACTAAAATTACTTTTTAAAATAAGTTCACCTCAAACCATGTTCACAAATTCTGATTATAGCATATTCTAGGGAAATATGTAAACTTCAGATAAATGTCATACAAGCTACATAAATTATTTTCATTCTCCCATTTCTAACCGCAATGTGCAGCTATGACTGTGAATTGTTCATTAGCAGCCATTCAATTTACCATTCTCAAAATAATAACTATAGTTTTAAAAAAACCTTCCATATAATGCATTTGTGCCACTAACGGATGTCTTCAATCACCAGTTTCACATCATTTCTCCATATTTTAAAGAGTTAGAACATTAGATACATTTAAAATTAAATTTATTGAATGTTCTGTAAAATTGAGTGGTGAAATTCAAGTCATGGATAAATTAAATACACATATATCTGCTTTCTTATAATAAATCATTTCATGTGGTATAAATCTACACAGAAGAACAATTATTTAGTTCTATCACCAAACACATACAAAACAAAAGTCAACCCAGTGCAAAGTCATTAACTTTGAAGAGATTAAATTTTGAATTGGATAGAAAATATGTGGAACTTAAAATTTGAACAAATTGAATACGTTATGTTTTCAATTGTATACTTTAAGTAGAGCATTTCATAAATTACCTTCAGCTCAGGCAGTATGTTTAAAATATTAACACTTGTATTTCTCCTTGTAAATAATTACAGTAATTAATAACTAATATTTATGTAATAATTATAATAAGTAATATATTTTGAGATTTATTGTTGTATGCTATTCTTATTCTAAAATAAGAACAATTTTATAAAATATTACTTTATAAGGTTGATAATGAACAAGGGATTTAGAAACTATTTTTTATAAATATTTTAAGTGATGTTGATAATGACCTAGTTGAGAGTTTAACTAGCAGGAGACACATCAGATGACAGTAAACTTCTTGCTAGTCCTAGATTTTAGATATGTCTATAGAATGTATGCTAATATAAAAAGTCATGAAAACTAGCCTATGACAGAAAAAAAGATCAAAAATTGTATATCTTTTATATTTCAGAGCAGTAGTTAAATAATAGGAGTTAATATTCATAGTTAAATATACTTAATCACATCAAAAGTTTAAATAGCAAAGTTTAAATAGCATTTCAAATCTTGTTATTATTTCTTGTCTATTATTTCCAAAAATGTAAGTTAATTTGCTAAAGTTGAAACAATACACTTTAAATGTGTATATCCTCAAGGCAGTTTTCACAACTTGGTAGTAGATAGAACAATGAAGAGATACTATTTAAAAATTAACCTAACAAGTTCGATTTGGGTTATTTGGAAAAATAGAAGTCTTTAAAAAAGTTTAACATTTTATTTGCTGTATATATAAAACTAATATTCATGCATGAATTGTAGTATATAGAATGAATTGAAACCTCATAAATTAAAAATAATTTTATAGTTCTATTATCAATTGTAATCATTGTTTAAATACATTTTTCTTTATGCCAATTAGTTTATGCCAATTATTACCACCTTTCAGAAGAAGATGATGGATTAAATTTCAAAATTAATTTCATTAGCTGAAATGCTATTACACAAGAAGAATCAATAAGTTCAGATTTTGGAAGGGCATCTCTTATTTTCTTGCTGATGTCTAAGGCAATAGTGGTTCACAGAATGATAATTTTCATGTACAGAATTTTATCTTCAGCCAGATGTGAATATTTTCCTAATAGAATAACAAAGAATTTGCTAGGATATTTTCCCCTCATGGAAAAAATTAGTATAAGGTTAGGATTTAGCACTCATATATGTGTGAAAGTTTTATGAATGCTAATTGTATACAGTAATTTTTTTAAAGTGCTATGCCACAGTACTTACAAACAAATGCTTTTTACCTGTTTCTTTTTTTTTTTTTTTTCTTTTTTTTTTTTTTTAGATGGAGTTTCGTTTTTTCTCCCCGGCGATGGCCATGAGCCGGATCTCAGCTCACTGCAAGCTCCGCCTCCCGGGTTTTTACGCCATTCTCCTGCCTCAGCCTCCCGAGTAGCCGGGACTACAGGCGCCCGCCACCTCGCCCAGCTAGTTTTTTGTATTTTTTAGTAGAGACGGGGTTTCACCGTGTTAGCCAGGATGGTCTCGAACTCCTGACCTCGTGATCCGCCCGTCTCGGCCTCCCCAAGTGCTGGGATTACAGGCTTGAGCCACCGCGCCCGGCCTTACCTGTTTCTTTATATTACTTTTGTCCACTAATCACTGCCCATATTATTTCTTATAAATGAATGTCACTGCAATGTTTAATTATTTCTGTTTTTCTAGTACATAAATAATTTTGAGGCATGAGGATGACTATGAAAAAAGACATTAATTGAGTAATCTTATCATATTCAGGGTAAGTTATTTAAAAACTGATGAAAAGTGGATATAACTAAGGTTAACTAGCATCTATGACTATTTAAATGTAAATGGAAACATTTGAGAAACCTAATATCTTCTTTGCTCTTTATTAAACACATTTTTCTGACCTCTTAAGCTCAAGAGTTCTTCACCTTAAATCAAAATTTCTAATATTTGTTTGACATCTTATCAATTAAGATATATATTATATAGTATTCATATTAGCACCTGTTTGAATTACTTTTCCTTGAGTTATGAATTCATTTTTTTCCTCTGAGCCTTCATGGAGAGATCATACGTGTCAGATAAAAATTATTATAGACCATGTATTTTTCTAGGGCAAATTATAATAGATATGGGGCTAGCATAGGAGAAAACTGAGAGTATTTTGAGTAAATACTAACTAGAAAAATGAAGCTGTTTTTCTGCTTGTTACACCATACATTTTTCACTAAGTATATTATGAGACTGGCAAAGTCATTTTCTTTATCATAAAGTTGTAGGGAAGAAACATGAGATTACATCAAAAGTACTATTTTATGACTTTAAGTAATAGCAATATTATTAAAGCACCTCATTATTGGGAAAAAAAGGTATATTCTCAAAAACCCTGTTGAGTATTATATTAACTCATTTGTCTTTAGCTATAGTTCTCTTCTTTAAGTAAAGTATGCACATATGTATTATAAAACAGCGGCTTAGCAATTTTTAAATTTATGTTTGGCCAAATTCATATCAATAGAATATATTGCATAAATGTATCATTATTTTCTACTGCTTAATCCACTGTAAATTACGTGCACTAGAAGGAAACTGGGATGAAGACATGGAGGTACATTACTATTAACCTAGAGACCAAGCTGGTTTACACTACCTCAGAAACCTTCAACGCATTTAGAGTACCCAAAGGGTAGGAGATGAGGGAGTACAGAGATGAGATGAGCCTGTTAGAGACAGACATAAGACAGAGCAAAATAAAGAAATATAAAGATGAATGACAAAGTTACATACATGTGTAACAATACATTTATTCATGGGAATAGAAAACATAAAGAAAGAAGGGCTAAATATTTAGAAAATGCTGATTAGGTGAGCTACACTTCAAAAACATGAAAAGTATGTAAACAATTAAACTTGGAGAAAAATTAGTGTGCCTGAAAATCATTAATGCAATATAAGAAATAACAAATCCAAACACCTCATACTAGAATTATGCTCGCTCTTAAAATCTAGTCTTGACGTTCCAAAACTGTAATGACAATACAGCCTCTAGGCAGGCCCATCAGTTGTGTCAACAATGTCATCTTGATTTTCTTGGAAGAGTAGAAAATATCACACTTATTAAACAATGTTTAATTATTTAATATACACAAATGTTTTAATAAGTTTCTCTCAAGCAATCTTAAGAATTATTATTCTAGCTTTATTTTTTCTTCAAAGGTAGAACATTATGAGGGATAAATTTTACACCTTGGATATCTTATTTATGAGACCATTGTATTAAAAAAGCAAGAAAGCATTTTTTAATATCTAATACAAAAGACATAATATCTAAATACATAAAGACAACATGCATCTGAAAATTAAAAGTACAGCATTTGTAAAAGAAGTAACTATAATGCAATAGATCCGATTTCCAAAAGTATAAATAAATATTATGCACAATACATATGTGTACATTGCTTTAAGGTCTGAAATCTACCCAGGCCTAAAGAGTGAACTTTATGTCCCATCCTCCCAAGTCTAACTGTTTTTCAGTAAACTATGGCATTGAACAGTAGTTAGAGACTTTCTGCACTGTAACTCCTTTTGAGATCCTAAATAAAAGGTACAACTGGAAAGTATTCAGATTATGAGAGACAAAAGATATGTGAAGGAAAACAGAGTTAGAAATTATTAGTAAAGGACAGAGCAGCATAAAGACACCCTATACTTAACAAAACTAATAATCCCAAATTATCTTCAAAAATATAAAAGTTATAAGGATAATAATATTTTATAATAGATTTATAATCCCAATGTCTCAAAAGGTAATTGAATACATGATCTAAATGATAAATACAGATACTGATAAATTTTGCCTTCTAGATCACTTAACACAAAAATCTTATTTTTAGTTTTAGAAAATCTTCCTAGTCCAAATAATTATTTTAATATTTTCAATATATTTATCTTGAGTGTTTTACCATCCATACCCTTTTCAGGGTGCTAATGTCAAAGTAGATATTATTTTTCTATTATTTTTGCTGTTGTTTTGCCAAATGTAACTGTCACTTTTTATTGAAACATCAGAATCAGATATTTAATTCTCACAGTTTTGATGCTTAATGAAAAGTGAAAGTTAAACACAGCATGGTGGCATTAAAAATACATGGTGAATCCATAGCATCCTTCACATTAGCCCTGAAGAGAATGCGGAATACCAAGAAAAGTTAACTAGTGTGTTTTGAGATGAGACTGACAAATTATCACAAATCACTAAAAAAGGAATGGACAAAGAATGGTAGACTTGGGAAGGAGAAGAGCAAGGAAATGCACTATTTTATTAATCTAATCTATAAAACAGGGAAGACCCCATTTGAAATACAGTGTCTGAATGTTTAACCCCAGAGAGTACTAACAAGGTAACATGCTCAAGACACAAGTCAATTAAGGAAGTAGAAACTTTATTCTATATGACTCTTTCAGGCTTATCTACATAAGCTTCCGTTTGTTTTTGAGACAATTTCAGCACATTAAACAAGAAACGGGGACTTATTTCTACCACTATGCTTAGGGAGGAAAATGTATTCTGTTTTAAAGTTTCTGGAAAAATCTTTGCCCTATTTAATTTCTATTCTATAATCTTTTTTAAAAAAGTCAATCTTTTTGCATAATGGATTTTACTAAGGATTTTAAAAAATTAATAGTATTACCTTTACTTTTTTGATGTTTTGAAATCCTTTTGCATCTCTCTGAACTATTGCACAAAAATTTAAATCTAGATTGCATATTTAGAACAGAAGGTCCAATTCATATTTATGGCTATTAATTTCAATTTGTTTATATATCTAGAGTTTGTCAGGCCTTAGAGTTCCTAAGTAGATTGAGAACCTCAGTAGTAAAGGTCTTTCATACTTTTTTCATTTTTGGGTAGGAGATTTATTTCTAAATTGGTGAAGTCTATACATATTTTCAGAATTCTCAACACACATAATTATGCAAAGTGTGTGAGGAAGCAAAACAGAGTCATAAGGAGGTGTTATAAGCTTAGGCTTAGAAAACCACTTCTGACAGCATACTCTACAACAATACTTAATTGGGTATATGAATCTTATTAGAAATGTTTCCAAGTTTTTATTGCCCTTACGTATGCCTCAAAAAGATTTGTATGTGTTCAGATAAAGGCTGATTGTACAGATGGTGACAGAATCACTTCAGAATCACTCAGATTCTAGTTTTCGGGAAAACTAAACCGTTTCTTAAATAAGACAAAAAGCAGGCTCTCTCAGAAAACCTTGTGACTATATGTAGATTTGTAATTCACAGTTATAATTCTACCATCGCCTCTTATGTTTAATAGAAGTTTAAAGCAGTAACAAACAGTGTGCCTAGATCTGCATATTACAATAAACCATTGCTCCAATAAATTCTATAGCCTCTTACCTCAAAAAAAAAAGTCATGAAATTATTGTTAGAGTAAACATTATCTCCAGTGAAATTTAAGGTATAAATTTTAACTAGTTCAAAATGCAAGATCCTTGCCTCTTTGAAGAAACATACCTCTTTCTTAAAGACATATATCTTATTATCTGATTTCTAGCAAAAGTCATGAAGGCAAAAGTCCATTTTTATAAAATCTGCATGCATTCTTAGAAGTTAATTCTTGGGTATATTTTAATAAAGTTTTTGGAATCATGTAGACATAAGCCCATAGCCAAAATTGTAAATAACTGACTCTGTTTTAACATTGCCATACCAAATAAATACTAGCATTATAAGCATAACAAAAGCACAGCATTTGTAATACATCTCTTAGAATATAAAAGCCTCAAGTTTTGTTATCTTATGTATCACTTATTTTAAAGCAAATTGTGATTTAGAATAAAATATGTTTTAAATATATTATTTGATTCAAAGCAAGTTATACCTCCTCAGAATGTTCAGTGGACTCTACAAACACAAGTTGGTATTTACTATACAGTATTCATAATAATTTTATTGAACTTAATGTGTGCACAACTATAGACTCTTTTATGTAACAAAAATGACTTATATTCAGTCACTGAAAAGTCCCAAATATCAAATGAGTATTTCAAAAATGATTTTGTCATTAAGAACTGGTTCTATGCTCTGAGACAAAATTACATCTAATCATCTTTATCTATTTAATAAAGCATTTATTCTACATTTTTATGTATATTTGATTCAGTAGTATGGAAACTGATTAATATGAAGCAAATCTGGAGAAAACTAATTTTCATACATTTTATTTAAGGCATCTCTGAAGCTTTTGAAAATAGGGTGAGATTACATGATATTTCATGCTGTCACTACATGTGCTTTCATCCATTTGTGGAAATCAGTCTTTCCAGTAAAGCATTTGAAAATACTTTTCATTAATTTTTATCTTTTAGAACTGGAAACTTTAAAGCTGATAGAAGTTTAACAAATTCATACCATCTTCATGGTAACTTCATTTTCTTTCATGAGACTAATAGAAAGGATGGATGACAATAGGAGATTCCTAAGCAACTTCCTTAGAGCAAATGATCAGGGGTTAAATAAATGCAAGGAGAGAACAAAAAATACAGGAAAGATAAAAGAGTCCGAAGCATAAATCACAGAAAGTCAAGATTGCTAGGAAACAATGGTGGTCATCTATATTGGTGTATGAAGATGGTCAGTGGGGTGGCTCCATGGATGTTGAAGATGCCACATTACAAACAGCAATGAGCCCTTGAACCAGAATCAGCCATAATGTAGGTAAAGTCACAAGCAATGTACTGGCTGGTCTTTTCAATAATTTTCTCTAATGGAATTTGTTAACTATGAGCAACATGAAACCAATATCTTTTTTCTACAAACACTAGATGATGATCATGATTCCTTTAAATGAAAACACCATCTACGGCATAAGTCAAAGCCCCGCATTACATTTTTAAGCTACAGGACAGAGACTAGGACCTTATTTGTTATGCCACAGATGCTCTGTTATTGTTTTCTGCAGCCAAATCTAAAAGTTTTTTTTGAATTAAATATTAGTTTTCTTTGTATTTTTTTCCTGAGCCTTTCAGGAAACTTAAGTTCTTTTCTAAAATTTTTACAATTTGATGCTTGATAATAAGACTATATCCTCATGTAAAAAGAATTCTACAATAATCTGAATTTCAAAAAATCATTTTCAAATAAAACAAGTTTTAAAAGATTTAGAAGCACTTTGATATGTCAGAGACCTACAGTAGACATAAAGAGCACAATAAACAAACATTTACCATTTTTGTCCATGGAATTTGGTTCTGACTGTTTCTTGCCAATATCAGCAAAGGAACGAACAATGGGAATCCTGTTGGTGAGTTTTTTCTGATTCTGATGATGATGTTGTTTCATCAACGCCTCATGGACCCTGTGGCGTACATCTTCATTCAGCTGACCTGAGCTCACTTGTTGGTCAAGAACCATATCTGAAGAGAAGAGGCCGGAAGAAGATGAATACAGTTTTCCTTTAGAACATGTGCCAGCCATGAATCACTGAGTCCAAATATGCAAGCCCTAAACAATATTAGTCATCTTGAAATAGAAATAACTTCTTTAAAAAAATTCCTAAGCATGGTGTTATAAATGGAAATTTATGTTCCATTGTAGAAATGTTGCACAAGAAAGATTTGGGCAAATTTTCATTATAAATCATTCTATTTTAAATATATAATTCTTATGAAGTATTATTTTTCAAAGGGGAATAGTTGCATTGAGAAGAAAGTTCTTTATTTCTTCATTATTCACACTGATGGGTGGAATAGCTGTAGAGATGATATGACAATTCATAATGTGTTTGAATTCACAATTCATAATGTGTTTGAATTTGGAAATTAGTTTTATACTTATATTTTAATATTTTTCCCATTTTCTAGTACAGACTAATTTCCTTGTTTCCTCGTTAAGTGAACAGAAGTCTATCTGTGAAAATCTGATGCAAAGAGGCCTATGAAGTGATATAGTTACTGAATTTGGAGAGTAAACAATTCTGTTTCATATGGATAGAAAATCAGCCCTTTCTCAAACTTTCCTGGAAACACACTCCCTTGAGAATGTTAGATTAAAAAGATATTCTATACCTGCAAAACAAAGACTGGAAGGTGAGATTTCAGAAGTCTATAATTAAGCAGATTATTTACCACACATAGTATCAAAAATGTCAATAAAGTAGATAAGCGAAAGTATTTTAAGTTTCTTAGTGATATAAAGATCACATCAGTGAATGTTTGTGTAATCAGTTTGCTTTCTGATTATCAAATATTAACTCTAATTGTTTTTTTTTTTTTCAATCAATTTAGAAAGTTTATTTTGCCAACGTTAAAGACACACCCGTGACACAGACTCAGGAGGTCCTGATAACATGTGTTCAAGGTGGTCAGAGTAGTTTGCTTTTTTTTTTTTTTTTTTAATTTATTTATTATTATTAAACTTCAAGTTGTAGGGTACATGTGCACAACGTGCAGGTTTGCTACATATGTATACTTGTGCCATGTTGGTGTGCTGCACCCATCAACTCGTCATTGCATTGGGAGTTATACCTTATAACTCTAATTGTTTTTAAGGCATTTAACATCTTATGTAAAGCAGATCGCAATGAGCTGCCTTCCACTGCCTTTTTGAGTACAATAAAGGTTTCAAAATTAGCAGAATGCTGCCTTACCAACAGTATTTCCCTTCAGTGTGAAGCCGAAATGAACTAGGGGACAGATTTGGGCCATTTTATGACATTCTAGCTAGATGACTTTGCAAAGTTGAATAACCTCAGTGTCCTTATTTATAAAATGGAGATAATAATATCTATATCACATGTTGGTGCCAAGACTGGCATAAGGCACCTGATGCACTGATTGGAATATTGAGGCTATCAGTAAATATTTCCCAGAACAGGATTTTCTTTGCAATTTTCATTACGTAGATTATGGGTTCCTGGTTTGAAATTTGTGGTGGTTTCAATATATTCATATTTTGTAACAGTTTATCAATTAGAGACAAAGCTGGGCTTATCAATAGCAGAAAACCCAAATTAAACTACCTAAAACAATTTTATTGGCTCACATAATAGAAAGATCAAAGTTAGGTTGGCTCTAATTCTGCTTCTCTGTGATTTTGTTAACTTCCCACTCCTCTAGGGTAAGCTTTAACCTCAGGCTGATTTTCCTTATGGTCATAAGATGGCTTCCAGCCACAACAAGGAAATATATATTTTTGTTCATATGCAGTGAGAAATATATTTTTTGTGACTTTCTCTTAGATGAGTTATTTTTCACCTGGCCAGGAAAAATTATCCTAAGTCTTACTGACATAGCCCTGCCCATCTTGAACCCAATCACTGGCAAAGCAGATGGTATTCATATTACTGACAGGCTAATCAAGAACTGCACTTCAATCTAGAGTTAATTCTCTAAACCAGAGATAGACAAGCTCTTTTTGTCCTGAGCCAGATAACAAATATTTTAGGCATTGTAGGCCATCTGATCTCTGTCACAAATACTGAATTTTGCCTTTGTAGCAGGAAAGCAGCCACAGGCAACACGTACACAAATAAACCTGGTTATGCTCCAGTGCAACTTCTTTATGGATGCTGAAACTTGAATTTCATATAACATTCACATCACAACATATTAACTTCTTTTTTATTATTTTTCAACCATTTTAAATATAATCCCCATTCTTAGCTCAAATGCCCTATGAAATCAGGTAGTCGGCCATATTTGGCACATGGGATATAGTGTGCTGTATCATTTTTGTGTTTACAATGGAAAGAGGTAGAATGAATATTTGGAAGTCACCCATAATATATACCTGGAATGTTTGAAAGTCAGTCACTATAATTACCTCAAAGGTCCCTTCCAATTCTGAAAATGTATTATACTATAGAATAATATTTAAATCTATATTTCAGTTCTTTGGAGATCAGTAGTTATAATACCCCTGGGTTAATCTGAAATAAAGGAAATAATAAATTGTCAACATATATGACATTACACTGAAACCTTGCTAAGATGGAAAAATGTATACAAAATATGCATATACTTCATAATGGAAGTTGTAAAGTAGGTTATTAGAATACCAATATGATATTATTGTAAGGCAGTTCCAAATATAAGCCATGATATGAATTCCCAGTTCAATATTCTAGTCAGAATCAAAAGTAATCACATAATAAACCCTGCATATGTTTATGATTTTTAATTTCTATTAAAGCACAATGTTTCCAGGCTCAAACACTACAAAACCCATAGGTCACTATCTTCACAGTTTTTCAAAGATAAGATTTTTATTTGAAACAGTTACATAAGGAAAAGTAAATATTAAAAAACACACTCATCTGTTCATTAGTTACAGAGAAATACACAGCAAACTTCTCCAAAGTATAACTGTATCAAATTATATCTTACTTGTCTGGAAAAAATTTACTCATTTTGCTTAAGAATATAACATTCTAGGGTGACATTTAGGTACCAAAAGGAATCTGAATTAGTAATCACTTACATTGTTCTCTTCCCCACTACAATATATATCAGTATTAACTTGAAAAGTGTGAAAGAATAATGGACCATAATGACTTTTGGTCCAGAGTGAAGTCCTGCAATCTCAGCAGGCTATGATGCCTACATAATACAGTCTATTCTGCCCCAGGATCTGGATGAAAAGCGAAAAAGCAAGGAAAAAAAAAGGACAAATAGGTCACACTCTGCTAACACTAAGTAGGTTTTAGAAAAACTAGTAGCACTTTGAGACCGTCCTGGCCAACATGGTGAGTTCCCGTCTCTACTAAAAATACAAAAAATTAGCTGGGCATGGTGGCGCGCGCCTGTAGTCCCCGGTACTTGGGAGACTGAGGCAGGAGAATCGCTGGAGCCCGGGAGGCGGAGGTTGTAGTGACCTGAGATTGCGCCACTGCACTCCAGCCCGATGACAGAGCGAGGCTTCGTCTCAAAAAAGAAAAAGAAAAAAAGAAAAACTAGTAGCACTTGTGGAAAACGGCCTCAGAAAAATGAAAAATTGTTTTTCATCCTATCAGGTAACTATTTCATCATAACGTATCTTGAATGAAAGCCCCTAGAGGCTATGACATATTGCAGATTCTATATAAATCTCTGTTTTTTGAAGATCATCATATCAATGCTTTGAAAACCCATTGTCTTAACTGTAAAATATATTGGGGGAGGTGGGGGGGAATATGATATGAAATTCCTAAATTCTGTGGTTTGGTTGCCAGCACTAACAGGGATGTGTGTGCTAAAGGTGTAAACTGTAATAGAATATTTACTTTTCAGACCAAGGATTGTCACAGTATAGGCATGCTAAAAAATATATGGTTATTCCTATACTCCCATATCTACAGATTACATTCAGTGGAGCAAACTGCAGATTCTTCCTTCAATGAAAGATTTTAAACAACAAAGGTTGTTTAAATGAGTTGGGAGCTATATTTGATAATCTGTCCATGGTACTAACTTTGGTTTGGTTTTAATTTCTTCCTAACTCTCATTGACAGAATTAGGTTAAAGTATACACACACTGAAGAGAGGATATTTCCATCATTAATCTTTATAATGCTTAATTTCAAAGAGATTAACATAGACCGTAAAATTCCCTGTAATTTATATGAATATAATTCAGAAGCATATTCAATATAATTAATCTCCATATCAGAGTAAATTGTGGTAAGAAGATATATCTGGAGAATTTTGGATTTGAAAAGGTTAAGAAATATTTTGAAGGATAAAGTTTAAATTTATTGAGTTTCCTGAAACATTGGGAAATAGATACATTTTAAATTAACTTTAGCCAAAAGAAAATCCTGCTTTAATTATACCAGAAATTTTTGACAGACTTGCCAGATACAAATGGGATTTTCTGCTACTAAGTCTACGAAAACATCTTAAGGAATTATCTGAGTCTGTTAAAAACATATCAGAACATTGATATAAAAATCCTTGATCATTACAAAACAAAATCTGGGTCATATTCATCTAGTAGGAAATGTCTGAAAAACATCAATACTGCAAAGCCTGTGCATTTACAAAGTACTAGGGATTAGAAACCTTAAAGGTAAACTGTGACACTTAGCTTTTGTAAAAGTGAAACTAGTGAATAATGTATGTGAATTATGGCTAACAGAGAAAAATCATGATAAATAAGAGTTGAGGAAAAAGTTTCAGAGCTGACTGTTAATCACTGTGGCCACAAATGATCATGAAACAGAATAAAACAGAAATTATGGTTGGGCACAGTGTCTCATGTCTGTAATCCTAGCACTTTGGGAAGCTGAAGCAGGTGGACTGATTGAACCCAGGAATTCAAGACCAGCCTGGGCAACATAGTGAGACCCCCATACCCCAAAAATTATGATTATAGGTTAATAAAAAAATTATTTCCATTTCTGCAAAGGTCATCTTTGATAAAGAACTTTCTATTTATCTGTTTACGGTGAAATAGTTTCTTTCCTACTTTATAAGTTGCTTTGATAATAAAACATAATTATGTGAAAATACTTTGCAAAGTTAGAAGTCTTAAAAATGGAAAGCATGTTTATTTATTACAAACTTAGTAACGCAGCTCAATTTTTATAAAATGAAAATAGGAGTATGTAAAAAATAAGAATATAATTACAAACTATGGAGAGAAAATATTTTAATGAGATTATATTGAGGGGATAAATAAGTAACTTTTAAATTTAGTCAAATTATAGTTATCAATGAGAGGAAATCTCTTCTCAGTAATGATTGTAAAGGAATCTAAGGTAATAACGATCAACAGAGATATTTGTAATCATATTTTTCTTTGTGATGTTAGCATTAAACCACTGACATATTCTAAATGTCATTTTACAGGCTGCTCTGCACTGAAAAATGGGACATTCAGGTTGGGCTACTTCAAAGTCAGAAAGATACACACTAATTAGAAGAGCAGAAAGAATACTAAAAAGCTATTTAGGGTATCAAGACGTCAACTGAACTACTTTCACTGTAAGGATAGACTTAGAGAATGTAATTTGCTTGAAAAGGCTAGATTTAACCCAGTTAACCTTCACATATTCTACAGAATTGAGCTTGGGAAAGGGACAGAGTTAGGAAAAAGTTGCATAATTTTAGACAATGAAAGTGAACTAAGGTAATAAAATGAACAGTGTTTTAGTCAAATTACTGGGAGAAAATTTCTTCATAAGAATAACTTTCTGAGGAAAGCATTAGAAATTACATAACTTAAGAAATGTGAAGACTGGTAAAAGTGTAAAGGGTGTGTTCTGAGGCTAATTTTGCCAGGTGGTAGAATGTGACAGTTTCATTTCCCATTTCAAAATGTATTTGGATTAATCTATTTTCAAAGGCAGCGTCATCATCAATTCAAGCAGCGAAAATAAATCCCTTAGCACAAGGCCTCTAACTTTTTAAATCTTAGTTTCTTTCTTTATTAAATAAGGATAACAATAATAACACTAAGAACCAGTTTTGAGTATGAAAAAGATAATTACAAACTTAAGAGCTTCCCATACTTCAAAGTACTGTGAAAAGCCCGGCTGTTTCATTCCTAATTAAAATATAAAATTGTTTAATGGGTATTAGCAAGACCATATAATGTAAAGCTAAGAAACTGAGCTGGATAGCTACCTATTTCAGCATTCTTAGAGAGTTTGTTTATTTCTGAGTTAATCATTTTCTCCATTTTTTCTTGATTTATTGCAGCTACAGTAGCCTGGATACTTCTGAAAATTATACATATATGTTTAACTTTATAAAGTATTTTAGGCTCTAGTTATGTAATTTAAAGAATAATCTCTTTACAGGTGTCACATGAAACAGAAGAGGACTGCTTATCTTTCCCGTTTGGGGCAGAGTGTGTGTGTGTGTGTGTGTGTCTGTGTGCGCACGCACCCGTGTATGTGTTTTAGATTTTTTGGAATTTTTGTTTAATAAATCAAGCCAAAGTATCTTTTAGTACTTACTGTTCTTTTCACATATACTGCAATGCCTATCAGCACCAATGACTAAATCAATAATTTTTAAGGTGATAAATGTGTCATCAAAATTTGGGTGACATTCACTTCAAGACATCTCTTTTTCTTCAGACAGCAGTTGTAGTGTAACAGAAAAGACACTGGGCTTAAAGTCAGGGGCCCCTGGGTGAAATCTAGGTCGTGACAATTTTAGAGTTTCTATTTTCTGATTGGAAAATGAGAATGACATCTACTTCATGGGGCTGTTCTGCAGATTAAAGTAGATATGTTATTTTCCTAATATATAATTATCTTATATATATGATTAACACACATATAATTTATTTTTCATTTCTACAATATAATTAAGATACTAAGTTTTTCCACTTCACAAATACATATCATATGGAACAAATTTTATTTTTTCCCAAACTAATAATTTTTAAACTGTCTCTTTTCTTTGTTTGTATTTTTAAAGCCTCCATCAATTATTTCATTTATATACTTTCAAAACTTATTTCTGTGTTTTTGTATTATTTTGTCTTTACTAAAATATGTTTGTCTTCTGGTCAAAAGATACAGGAGTTCTTTGACTCAATTTCTGTAATAATAACATTTCCTAAATATAGCTGTCTATATTATAAGACATCATTGAATTCTAATACTAATCATTCATCAGGTTGCAGTATTGAATTACAAAACAAATCCTAACTATCACACTTGGCTTCCTCTGGAATTCAAGGGTTTTAATTAAGTTTAAAATAAATGACCATACTCTTCTGTGTCCATTCTAAACCAACATTTTTCTGTTTATTGAAATTTTTTCATTTGGTTATTTCATGTGTTTGGATATTGAAAATAAGTAGCTTTAAGGGTTTTTCCTTTAAATTTCTAATGGTGAGAGTCTAATAATGAAAATGAATGGTGAATGGGAATCAAGATATCTAGGTTCTTGTCCTAGACTTGGCACTGCCAACCTAGAGCATATTTCTCTGAGATTCAACTTCTTTTATCTCGAATAACAGGGTAAAAGAAAATGACTTTTAAGGCCTTATACAGTGATTATGAGAATAGTTTTCCAAAGTTCATGCATATATTGAATTACAAGGAAAAGAGAATAACAAAAAAGTAGCTGTACCTATAAAATAGACTAAGGGAGAAAAGATATACCTGCAATTTCTTCTAAAGTGTTGGCATGCATGTCCAGCAACACAGTTCCATTCAGAATACAACTTCTCAACTCAAACAAGCTGTGCAATGAAAGAGTAGCTACATAAGGCTTGCTCCACCTTTCTCCTCCATCTTCCACATCTTCTTCAAACTTCAACCACCTATATAAATAAATATTATCAGCACAGTTTATATTATATTGTAGGTGAATGATCCTTTATCCCAAAAATAAAAGGTTAAATAGAAAAGCAGTCATATTGTGTCTTGGTTCATAGGTTTTGGAAGTATATAAAAGCTAGTCTAAGCCATTTGGCTTATTTCATTTTAATTCCATTTAGCTCACATTCTTTTTGTAATTAAAAAATAATTGAAAATAAAGGAAAACTCATGTTATTTTGTTAACTTGTCTAACTCTGAAGAAACATTTAAATATAAGTGTTTAACCAGTGGTCACGGAAAATCTTATGTAGCACTAATAAAGAGTGTATCCTTCATGGAAAGTTAATGGTAATTGAAAAAGAAAATGAAAGAATACTTATTTTTCATTGGTGGGAGGTCTTAAACCTGAAAATTTTAGTCTCTTGGTAATTTTCTTATAAGATCTTGAGGGAGGCTAGCATAATTTGGGGTCTGTTGTATAGGAAAAATCTTTGTTAGGCTTGCTTGGATGAAAGCTAGTGATAGCAGTCACTTCCTAGGGACTGAATATGTGAGAATTAAGCTCAGACCCCATCTCTGGGTGTTTCTGCCAGGATGGATAATCAGAGAAGAACCTTGATGTCATGATGTCAAACAGGAGACCATTGTCTTCTTGGACCGAAATGAATAGTAATACCTAGATTGTCTGCAAGCAAGATAAATGGAACAGATAAAGAGAAACCAATGATTTTATCGCTCTGGAACAAGCCACTTTATTCTTATCTGTTTAGGAACTTGGTCTCTAATCCTAATAGATGACCAATTTAATTTCACCATTTCTAATGAACTTTAGCCTAAATATTCTTGCCTACCTCCATCTTCACCATTTCCCTCATTTCTTTTCTCCTTAGTCATTTTTCACCACAATTTCTCTCTCCAAGCAATACGATTCAAATCCTCTATACGATATTATATTATTATTTTGTGTAACAAAATGATACAACTTCAACACAGAACAAATATGTGGGAGTAACTAGTTAGGGAATCAAGTGGATTCGCCAAAAGTAACTAACCAAAAGAGCCAGTCGGAATGATTAATGTCCAGAGTAGTAAGAGAGATCAGCAAAGCTATGGATCTGTCTCTAGTGTTTAGGAAGCAAAAAGAAAAAAAAAAATGTCAGACAGTGAAAAGGAAACCAATAGAAAAGAATACTTATACCTGCCAAAACTTACAGTCAGGTAAGAATAGCAATGCCAAAAGCGTACATTTAAGCCCCAAATCACCAACAGTATCTCTTCAAGGCTAGGCATTTTATAGAACATTTTTGTCCACACAAAAAGTTTTCATATTAGTTATTCTTAAAGTTTTCAGTCCTAAACAGGGCCATAATACCTCATAAATCATGTGATGGTAATATCATGTCATAACTGTTCTCCCTCTCTTTCTAGGAAAGAGTAGAATATCACTACCTGGCTTCCTTTTAATTGGGTGAGTCCATGTCTGTGATTAATTCTGGAAATGGGATGGGAACAAAAATTATGTGTGTGTCACTACCAGACTGGAGTGTTTAATTGTCAAGAGGATATCCTCTGGAGCTCACCCTTTCCTTGACATACAACAAGCAAAAGTTCAAGATGAAGGCTGATCTATCAGCTGAGGTTTCTAAGTTACTGTTTAATACAATGAACAGACGAGCAAAATCCCAATGATCCATGATGGACATGAATTGTGAGCCATAAACAAATGGGTTTAAGCCACTGAGATTGCAGGATATTTTTATAGCATAATTTAGCCTATCCCAACTGACTTAGATCATCATTTTAGTTATTCATATCAGCATAAAAATCCTAATCAGAATTAATGGTGAAAGCAAATGTGATTTTAATAAATATAATAAATTATTATTTCTTGTCAGATATGAGAATAAGGCCATAGTCACACTATTATTTCAATATCACAAAGGAGCAACCTCTTGGCAGACATTTTAATGCTATAGTATTATATAAAGTGTCTTCAAATAATTGAGAATAAAAAGAAATGTATATTTTTTCTATACTCTACAGCAAAACCACGTTGTAATAAAAGGAAAGTCTTTTAACTTCTCTGGGTCACTTTTCTCACAGGTAAAATGATGAGACAAATTAAACACATTAAATAATTTTCCAGAGATCACCTAGCCAGTGACCTTGTCAAACCAGGATCCAACTCTTAAGTTTTTTTTTTTTTTAATTTTGTTTTTCTCCAGAGTCTGTGCCCATTTCCCACCATAATACAGTAATTTGAATTGAACTTATAGTGCTTTTCAGCTCAAAGATCTTATGCTAATGCTTATAGCAGAAACAACTGATTTAACATTGAATTTTCATCCATGTCTGGAGCCAATCTTAAGTTGCAAAATATTCTTTGTTTTCACTTTTCTTTCATATTATTCACATTTGTTTTCTTTATTATCTACTATGCTAGATAAAAATAGATGGTTTTCCTTTGTGAATAAGACTCAAACATACTATTCTGTGGAAGGGCTAAAATGAAACTTTCCATAAGGAAGTGGCATCAGGGGAGTGGATACAACTTTTATTAAATCTCCTAATTAAATTATAATCTACTGACATATGCTGTGGATTTCAGATAAAAAGAGCAAAAGGAAGGGAGACTATATAATAGCACGTATGCTGGTGTTATTTTGACTGAAGAACTTTGTGAAGTTGGAAATCTACTTTCTAGTCTATTTGGTGGTATAGGAAACCTAGAGGTTTAAAAGAGTGTAATACTATTTAAGGAAATATAGGTTTTCCTCTATGGAAAATGTCCTCAATTAAGGTTTCTAGAGTTATGGTACTTTTTGTCATCCCTTTTTATAAAATTGATTCTAAAATATTGTAACAGTGAGACAATGGTTAACAGTGAGATAATGTCTCTACAAGAAATTAAAAATGTTAACTAGGTGTGGTGGTGCATGCCTGTAGTCCCATCTGTTCAGGAGGCTGAGATGGCAGGACTGCTTGAGCCCAGGAGATCGAGGCTGCAGTGAGCCATGACAATGCCACTGCACTCTAGCCTGGGTGACAGAGTGAGATCCTGCCTCAAAAGAACAAACAAATAAATTAAATTAAATGTAATCTCCAAAAATTATACTCAAGTACAAAATCCTGAAAAGCCTTTGTACATTACTAAAAAATCATATTGTTTGTCAACTACTTAAGTGTAACTCTAGAAATTTACCCATACAATAATATTGTTTGTAAGCTGTAATAATATGAATAACAAATTCACTTTTAAAATACTCCTGGGCCTCTTGGTCTATATAGCATGATAAAACCCTTTCTTATAATAAAATTTATAGTTAAAATTTACTTCTGGATAACAGTGAAGATGACTAAATAAGTGACAAAGCATCTAAATCATTTAATCTTGACTCCTTTGAAAGTAAAATTTTAAATTTTAAGAATGCTGGAAAGGGGTTACTGTTTTTATTTCGGAAAAAAATGACTTTAAACCAAAAACAATCAAAAAGTAAAAAGAATAGGATTACATAAAAATAAAGTGTTCAGACAAGAAGACTTAACTATCCTAAATATATATGCACCCAATACTGGAATACCTAGATTCATAAAACAAGTTCTTAGAGACTTATGAAGAAACTTAGATAATGACACAGTAAGAGTGGAAGACTTCCAACACCCCACTGATGATATGGGACAGATCACTGAGGCAGAATACTAACAAGAGATATTTGGGACCTAAACTTAACACTTGACCAGATGAACCTAACAGACATCTACAGAACACTCCACCCAACAAAAACAGAATATATATTCTTTTCATCTGTACATGGCACATATTCTAAAATTGACCACACACTTAACCATAAAGCAATTCTCAACAAATTAAAAAAACCCAAAATCATACCAAACATAATCTCAGAACACAACACAATAAAAATATAAATCAATACCAAGAAGATATCTCAAAACCATACAATTGCATGGAAACTAAACAATCTGCTCCTTAATGATTTCAGTAAACAATGAAGTAAAGGTAGAAACCAAGCAATTATTTGAAACTAGTGAAAACAAAGATAAGACATACTAGAATCTCTGGGACACAGCAAAAGTAGTGTTGAGAGGAAAGTTTATACTGCTAAATGCTGACATAAAAAACAACAACTTACATCTTAAGTTAACAACCTAACATTACACTTGAAGGAATTTGAAAAGCAAAAGTAAACCAATCCCAAATATAACAGAAGAAAAGAACCAAAATAGAGCTGAACAGAATAAAATGGAGATGAAAAAAAATCACACAAAAGATCAACAAAACCAAGAGCTGGCTCTTTGAAAGAACAAACAACATTGATATACTGCTAGCTAGATTAATTTTAAAAAAGGAAGAAGATAAAAATAAACACAATCAGAAAACGAAGGAAACATTACTACTAACCCGACAGAAATACAAAAACCCTCAGAGACTATTATGAACACCTCTGTGCTCACAAACTAGAAAAGCTAGAAGAAATGGATAAATTCCTAGGAATATACAACTGCCCAAGATTAAACCAGAAATAAATTATTTTTATTATTTATTTATTTGTTTGTTTATTTATTTTATTTATTTTTTTGAGACAGAGTCTCTCTCTGTCACCCAGACTGGAGTGCAGTGGCACGATCTCGACTCACTGCAACCTCTGCTCCTGCGTTCAAGTGATTCTCCTGCCTCACATCACAAGTAGCTGGGACTAAAGGCACACACCACCGTGTCTGGCTAATTTTTTTGTATTTTTAGTAGAGACAGGGTTTCGCCATTTTGGCCAAGCTGGTCTCAAATGTCTGGGCTCAAGTGATCCACCCACCTCAACCTCCCAAAGTGCTGGAAATCAGAGGTGTGAGCCATTGCACCTGGCCTAACCAGAAATACATTGAAACCATGAACACACCAATAATGAATTTCAAAATTGAATTGTAATAAAAAAGCAAACAACCAGAAAAAAAGCCTTGGATCAGATGGAGTCACAGTCAAATTCTA